CACCCCCAACACGTATCCAAGAGTGTGGACCCTGGGTCAAACTTCTGACATCGGAAAAGGGAGTAGGCACATCTTGACATGACACATGGCCACGATGGGCCACGCCCGGGGGCTCACGTCGCCAACAGCGTCAGTCGTGCGGACACTGTGCTTCCTAATCCCCATACGGTCGCTGACAGGGGTATTGGCTAACCATGCCGCTCGCCGGGACGGAGTGGAGCTCCACGATCGGCTGACGATGCCCGCGATGATGAACAGGAGCACGACGTGAAGCCGTCCCCGTTGTCGTCTACAGCATCGGCGGGACCCGCATAAAGGACACGAAGGGCGCCGTGGTCCCGGAGGCCTTCGGCTCTTAGCTTTTCTCTCTCTCTCTCTCCCTCTCCTTTTCTTCCTCTCGTGTAACCTACGCCTTCCCCTTCTTCTATAAAAGGGGAAGCAGGACACCCTACATGGGGCACGACTGAACGGCTAGACGAGCTCAACTAGACTCAATGCCATTCAACTTTTTCACCAGAGACTTGGGATCCGTTCTCTCTCTCTCGCCTGTTTGTAACCCCTACTATAAACTCAGTGCTGGTAACACGAGCAGCCTCAGACTGGACGTAGGGACATTCCACCCGAATCCGTATAAATCCTTGTGTCCTCCGAGCACACCATCCGGACCAGACGCGCAAATACAAATTTACTAGCCGGTGATTCGAAACACCGACACTCCGTCAAACAGAGTACTCCCTCCGTCCTAAAAAGACTGCAATTGTAGTATTCAAAATTTGTCCAAAAAGACTGCAATTGCAAGGGGCTCCGGAGAATTCATAGTGAGGAAGCTTCCGGAGCTCCGAAGTCGTTGGACAAAGAGTGTGAGGATTGGGCTGATCTTTATGGGGTCAATTTAGTAATTTACCACCAATCCTTGGTATTCGTGTCTAGTCTTACAATTGCGGACTTTTTTTTTGACAGAGGGAGTATTTCTTCTGGGCTTCCTCGATCGAGCTCCGGTCTTCCGCAAAGGCTATGAGGAACAAGCGTAAATTATTGGCTATTTGGACTCATATATGGGCTTGAACAGGCGTGAAATCTTGGCTATTTGGACTCATATATGGGCTTGCAGAACGGTGAGTGTGGGCCACCTGGGCAACTTTTTTGCGTTGGCCCAAGTGTTTCTTCCACATTCCCTGTTGATGAACGTCGGTAAAGCAACAATTCCAAATCCTCCGTACCGTAGCTCCTTTTGACTGTGTGCTCAAAATTCAGTTTCTACACTTTGCATTTGCTAATATAAATATCTCACGCATTTGTATATATAATATATAAAATAAATCTATAATACAATACACGCGTACATGCAACTCCGTATTACAGTAGTATACAATAATAATAATTTAGAATGCAGTAGTCAAGTCATTCGGAGCCTGAAAAAGGGCTACAGTGCGAGCACGATCTCTAAGCTAGTGACCGAAGCAGTCGACGAGGATGGACAGAGCCATCTCGGCGGTGAGACCCGGCGACGGCGACGGTGCGGCGGCTGCAGCATGAAGCGCATCGTCGGCATCGCCAGACGAGCCGGAGCCACCCGTTCCTGAGCCGTTTGGACGACGACTCGCAGCCGCAGCAGGCTCCGACGAGGCGCGACGCGGCGGCGGCACGGCCCCGGCTTCGGGGCGTCGCCGAGAAGACGACGCGGAGTTTGGCTCGCTGGTGGGTGCAGAGCGCAGCATTGGTGTTCGATGTGTTCGCGGTGTGACTTGTGAGCGCGGGGAGGCACACGACGTCGTGCGGGCTCGTTTGTAGTATTGGCGGTGCGGTGTGGTCGGCGCGTGCATACGCGACGGTCAGAGCGCGCACGGGTGACGGGACGCGTGTCGGCACGCGGTGGTCAGGGAGGCGCGCGCATCCCGTGGGGAAACCAGGGGCACACGCACATGCCCCTGCAATGGAGACGACGGGCGGCTGCGGTTTTGCGGGGCCAGACCACAGCTTCTGTATTGTTCGCGGGTCCGCGTCGCAAACGTGATTGTTGGAAAAGGCACTGGCCAGCGGCGTGGAGTGGAGTGCTTGTCAATTCCGTTCAAGAAACTACGACCCACCTTCGATTCTCCTTAGGGCAGGCCCTGTTTGCTTGAACTTATTTTATTAGTCATGATATAATATTTTTCTCTCATCTAAAATCAGTCAATAGTACTTTACAGTCTGACTTTTTAGCGAATAACGATGCTCTGTTGTGCTCATGGTGTGCTGATGGCTACTCTGTTTTCTGAGTTGCAAACTAGCAATTGGTTGTACACTCAAGCAATGAACTGGTGGGAGCTCTCTTCCCCTCCCTTTACAATAAAAATAAAAATAAATCCGTTCCCGAGACTATTCTGTTTTTTTCCTCATGGAACAGAACATTCCGGAACTGGTCAATACCGTAATACCGTTTAGACTTTTTTTTAACAAAATTATAATATATATAAATAATTCTATATATAAGTAACTATATACGATATATTCTCATACAACTTTAGTAGCGACCATTCCAAAAAATATATAGGCTTATGTTTAAGATATCATATAATTTAACAGGTTTATAAATTGTACATTAAATCAGATATTACTTGATTCTTAGCCGGTACCGATATTGGCCGGAATAGCTGGTATTGAGGTCGGTACGTGATAAGAATGTTTTAATACCGGTCTAGCACCGGTATGATATATACTCGTCATTCCAGGTGGTAGTGGTATCGGAATGGTATTGACATGCTTGGCGTATATGCTAAGGCTACCTAATGAAACACCACCTACTAACAATGAGAGTTTTTTTATTATATATTTTTAACGTTTCTCTAAATCATATTTTTAAAATAACCCATCATATTTCTATTTTTAACTCTTTTGGCCGTGTCAGGCCGTGTGGCGTGGCAAAATCACCGTACACCATGTGCATCAGCACGGGCAAGGCGTGGCGTGAAAGTCAGAACTTTTGCAGCGGTGTTGCACCGCCACCTGGGCCGGGCCAAGAGTCTGACAATTTTATTTTTATTTGGGCCCAGCGTATGCCTCTGTTTTTTCTATTTTCCTTTTTCTTACTATATAATCTCTAGTAAGAAATGGATTTACATGACGCTAAATGCATGAGAAGTGCACTGCACTTACATAAATTCTTAGAGTGGATTTCTTTAGAGTAACTATGGTAGGAGATTTTTTTAGGAAACAAGAGTGGGAGCCCCCTACTAGTTAATATATATCTATACCTAATAATAAAAAGGCAAAATTTCCGCCGTATTTTTTTTTCCAGCCTCTTCCTCCTCCAAGAGTAGTGAAGATAATAGAAACAAAATATAGGGTTCCAGATATAAAGATACTAGAGAGAAAGAAAATGTGGAAGGGCCTTAATAGTTTTTGAAATATATCAGGGTTCCTGATGCAAAATGTTCAAATCCGAGTGGGTCTCTCTGGTGGGCTTTTTTTTCGACCTAGGTTGGATTCTTGCAGTTGGGCTGGCTTCGTTGTGGGCTGGATCAAGCCTATGCAAGCATTTTTCCTTATGCAAGCCTTTTTCCATTTCTTTCGTTTTTCTCTTTTTCTATAAAAATAGAGATATTGCAAAATTCGTCAAAATCATAGAAAAATCATAAAAATGCCAAACCAGTTTAGCGGCACAACTAAATATTTCATGAACCGAAAACTTCGTAGATTATTATCTAACGAAATCTTACAAATGTATTTATTTAATTCCTAACGAGGACTGCCGTCTGAAAATTCAAGAGAGGTCTCAGTCACCGGTGGACAGACAAATCCTTGACACATTGACAAAAAAATTACGGAGGTTGATATAATGCATCAAAAAGCTACAAAGGTCGATATTGAGTCATAGAAACACATGAGTATTATGAAAAATTAAAGTTATGATATACTTATAGCTAAATAATTATGTGCTTTGTAATGAAAGGAAAAATATACCAAGGTGTATTTCAATTTGATACAGGTTTAATAAGACATTGTTATTTATTGTTAGCATTAACTTATATTATGGATGTCACGGTCATCATAAAATAAATTATAAAAGGATAAAACATAAGTAGATATGTATCATTCACTTCATCGTTTTGCATGAATGCTTGATAGTTTTTTTTTCTCCCATTGCGACACACGTACATATTTGCTAGTATTAATAATAGAAGAAAAAAGGATGTGTCCAAGCAACAGAATTCAAGAAATGGAAAAGGACAAAAGAATATAAAGAAGATCACAATTGGTACTATGGTAGGCGATTGACCGCCTAAACTTTGATATATAAATGAATATGCAAGGATCAGTGCATACAGGATTTGCAAAATGGGAAGAGAGAGCAGGAGTGCTAAGAACTTTGTCACATTCCAAAAAAAAAAAAAAACTCAACCCAAAAGTTGAAGAAAACGATGGGCAGGCTTTCTAAGCTCGGTGTGACCAGAGGCGAAGATCCAAAGCAGCATTCGAAGAGTTTGGCAGCAGAGACGTCATGGTCATTGAAGGCCTTGGCATTCCTACTCTTCCAGAGAATTCGCATATGTAACTCAAGTACTCAACAACCTTCTCTCAAGTCTTGACCCCATACACATAATTTAGCTCATACCTGAGAATGTCCTCAACGTACAGACATGTCCTTAGCTGTGAAGAATTCCCAACATTTATGTTTAATCTGTTCCCAAGAAAATTCCATTTCCATGAATCTTTTTCTGCTAGTTTCTATTATCGATCCATGATAAATTATCTAGAACTTCAGGCGCATTTGTGAAGGTGCTAACCGATTTTCTTTTTTCTTTCTGCATCCAGCTTGCAGAGAGAGCCTTGCAGCCGGCAAGGCGCGTGCCCAGCCCATAAGTTAAGGAAGTGAGGAACCACATACGGCTGCTCCTCCAGCTCCTGATCCTGTCGTTGCACTGCCTTTCTTGCCCTAGTGCCCCGAGTCATTCGCCGTGTGCTTTGCATTGTCGTGCTTGCCTTCGCAACTTGAAAATATGCAGCACCATGTTTAGACTTCAAAGCATCTGGTACACTAATGTGTCTGTGTTTTGGCAGAAGTAATCTACAGCCTTTGGTAGTGCGATCTCTTCCAGCTGTGCCAAGGTAATGCCTGTATGAGCGCAATGTTGCTCCTCACTGTGATTCACCACTATAACTGAGCTTTTATCCGCAGCCAGCAGGTCCTCTGAAGAGCCATGGGGCATAAACAGTAGTCCAGCTATCAGATATTGAGAATCTTGCAGACAAAAATCGCCTCCATGCAGTGAGACTTGACACTGCAAGTGCACTCCAATAACTGATTCTAGAGAAATATCTAGCGTGCCTGTGTTGCTACTACAGTGAAGTTCATGCTGGTCAAGCTCCTTGCAACATGATGGGTTTGGGCGATTCCATTGAGAAACACAATTATGAAGATTCTCCCAATGTTTTTCTGGCGTGAATCAAGAAATGGCACCCATGAGAAGTCTTGTGTAGGTAGTTGCATAAGCTTATTCCTAATAATTTCAACTTTAGACTTAAAAAAGGTGTGTACAACCTCAAGCAATCAATGGCAGTTCCAACTATGTCCGTACTCTCTAAAAGTTGTAGAGTGACACTATAGAAAAAACTATTCTCGGGTGCCAGACCATCTTTCTGGATGAAGAACAGGACAACCTCTATTCCATGCTCTGGAGTACTGAAGGGCAACCACAGCAAAAAAAATGTGCTCTGATTTCCCAGATCGATATTGTGTTGTAGCTTCTTGCCTGTAAAAAGGTTTTTGACAAAAGGGTTGAAGGGCATGTGACAATGCGGTGTGCAACCAAGCTCTATGAATCTCAAGAAGTCGCTAGCACCATCTGCATACCACTCAAATCTTCGAACAATGGATCTGCTTAGCTGGTTGTTGAGACCAAAGGTAGAAGAGATAAATGACGTGGTAGCATGTGCTATCCGTTTAGGAAAGGCTGAACTACTGACCTCCTGTTCCATCTTTTCTTCTTCCAGGATTCTATTCTTGCACTTGTGGAGCACGTCGTCGCACTCTTGAGCAGCACGCTTCAGATTTTTCCGCCAACACAACAACGATGCATCAGTGATCTGCCACTTTTCAGATGTCTCGAGAGCAGCCTCCAGCTTGATGTGCGCCATGTCTAGCCTCTCCAAGTTTTCGTTGTCCTTCGATTTCTCTTTCCCCTCATGCCTGTCAATCAGATCAGATAGGATTTGGCTAACTGCCCCTTGGACAACCGCAGAACCGACCATCTCTGCCATTAGGACTCAAGCATCTATAGCGTCCCTTCCCTGCTCATGAAAAGTAGCATATACCATTAGTCAGCACACATGAGAGAGTAAAAATATGGAATTTTGATCACAAGCAAGGATTTAGCTGAGTGGCTGTAAGAATCTACCTTTGATAGAATTGCATGGGAGTAGTGATCAGCTTAGCTGTCCTGTGTATGAAGGTATCTCTATAAGGAGGTGTTGGTCTCCATAAGCCACGGAAATGTTGGTTCAAGAAGGGATATGTGAGTTCAATCAATGATGGTAGAGTCTCTGCTTCTATATATGCATATAATTGACTAACCTTCATTAAGTGGTGGCAAGTTGACGAAGCACATGCTGTGTGAATAATCAAATGGAGGCTGCTATGCTTCTCTTTACACGTTTGAATATAATTGGCTAACATAGTAGTGACAAGTTGAACCATACGGAGGCTGCTGTGCTAATAAACTGAAAGAGAACAAGGGGAAATATAATGCGTGAGCTTCAACATCTTTCATCCATTATATTAGTTCAGCAGCGTACAGGGAACTCAGAAGGCTTGGTCCTTTGCAGGTGAACATGGAAAGCTTGAAACCTCCCCTTGCTCCATGGCATTCTAGTCAAACGCGTGGGGCCCAGAAGCTAGAACCTGCAGCGGTGTTGCACCACACCACCTGGGCCAGGCCAAGAGTCTGACAATATTTATTTTGGACATACCCCTATGTTTTTCTATTTTTCCCTTTTCTTACTATATATAATCTCTAGTGTGAAATAGATTTACATGAAGCTAAACACACGAACAGCGCACTGCACTGCACTTACATAAATTATTAGAGTGGATTTTCTTTAGAGTAACTACGGTAGGTGATTCTTTTTGAGGAAACAGGAGTGGTAGCACCCTACTGATTAATAATATATATTAATCATAAAAGGAAAAAAAGATGTGTCCAAGCAACAGAATTCAAGAAACGGAAAAGGACAAAAAGAATATAAAGAAGATCACGATTGGTACTATGGTAGGCGATTGCCAGCCTGATCAACAATGAAAGCCTCTGCTTCTCTTTACGCGTTTGAATATAATTGGCTAACATGCATTAAATGATGACTTGTTGAACCATATGGAGGCTTCTATTCTAATCAGCGCAGACAACTGGAGAAAAATAGGAAATATGTCAACTAGAACTTCTCTCATCCATGAGTTCAGCGCCGTACATGGAACTCAGAAATACTTGGTCCTTACCAGATGAATGATGCAAAGCTTGCCACTGGCAATTTGTAGTGGGCAAAGCAAATATTTTGAGTCTTTGGCAAACTTTTTTCCATGGTGTACCAGTATGGCCTAACGTCCACTAGTCACCTACAATCTCCGTACGCCTTAGTTTTCTATACTTCCTTCACCAGTTCACCTCATTGTGTTACTGATCATCGATAGTCAAAACTCAAAAGGACAACATATGTATACACCTCAGAGTACAGAGGACTCCTGTATATCCTGTAAGATGTATGACAGAGTGCAGAAGTGCAATGACAGATCAGAAAGCTTCACAGGCTTCACAGCCAATTAAGCGAAAGAAGATTTGCTCGTACATGACCATTGAGGCATTGACTACATCTAGTCCACTGTAGTAGAAGAAAATTTGTGCCTTTTCTTTCTCTCCTACAGTAGGTCCTAACCTAGCTAAAATCGCAGAGCACCTTGTTATAAATCTCACATCGACTGACAGGCTGCTCGACGCCCTCGACGCAGGGCAGGTTGTGGCATCTGCGGTGGGGAGTAAATCGAGCTCACCTCTAGCGCGGCCGCACGGAGTAGCGGCGGACGGCGACTCCACCGCCATCTCCGCTCATTCTTCGTTCCTTCTCGAATCTCGACGGCGCCGCCGCCCCGTGCACCCTCCTCGACCGACCGACGAACTCTGCCACCTGCCCACCTCGGCAAACCACTGCCACGTGGGACCCAAGGGCAAACCTACAGCTCTTTGCTCCTCCAGTGGCGTGGCGCTGCTAACTGGGCCGGGCCAACAGTAACAACTTTTGTTTTGGCCCAGCATGTCATGTCGTAGAGGACTAGCCGACTGGGACGCGTGGGCGCAGCAGTGGCGGACGACGCCTCGGCCGCCAAGTCCGGCGGTTTGGCCTTGTCCTCCATGGCCCCCCGCCCACAAAACGCGCACCCTCTCTCGCCTCCCTAACCGGTCGTCGCTCGTGGGATCCTCCGCGACGGCGGCGTGCCTCTCCACTGTGTCCGGCAAAAGCACTGCAGTGGGGTCCCATAATCCACAGCTTTCCCCAGCAGCCAGCGGTGTGCAGTGCGGCGAGAACTGGGCTAGGCCTAGGCCTAGAGGCCAGAGCGTAATAAAATATTCGTTTTGGTCCAACTAACAAATATTCTTTGTGGCTTTTTCTATTTTTATTTATGTTGTAGCCTTTATTTTAGTAAAAAAAACAAATGTCACCGTCATCTTTGGATTTAGTCCCACATCCATAATTGATTATGGGGAGCATCACATATAAGGCGGGGCAGCCCTCTCCTGTTATACAGTATTTTGGGTTGAGTTAGGTATATGCCTTAATATGTTGTGTGCTCTGATGGACCTAGGTTTAAGGAGGTGCCGACTCATGGACATAGTGAGCTAGGTTGGATTCGCTACGCACTCTAATAAGAATATAATATTTGAGTCCATGGTCAGAAAACTTGATGGCAAGGGAGTGTAACTTATAAAGTGGGGGCAGCCTTCCCCTCACCTATTAAGGTAGTCTTAGGCCGGATGCGCTGCGCACTCTAACATATTTATCTAGAATATATACCTTTTTATAATCTATCTAGAATTACAATACTGATAACATTTTTTTTATAACTTAGAAAGATGGACGGCCTAGCTAGATTGCTGTTTCTTTTCTTTTTGTCGGCTGCTCTACTTGGCTGATTTCACAGCTCTTTCTATTTTCGCCATGTCTCAATATCATTCTATATATTTATTGCAGGATCATCGTCCCGGTAGCCTTCGGACTTCTCCGCTAATCAACTGGTCGGACTGCTAGGTTAGGTTTATGGACTTCGTCGCCAATCAGTTGGTTGGGCTGCTCGGTGCATGATTCTTCGCCAACCAATTGTTCGGATTGCCCGCCGCTTCATTGTCCGCTACGTTGGGTGCTCGCCAGCTAAGATGGGGACTCCTCGGCGTTCAGATTGCTCGTCACTTCGCTACTGACCAGTTGGTTGGGCTACTCGGCGCTAGTTTCTTCGCCAACCAACTGGTCGGACTGTTCGTCGCTCGCGCTTTATCATTAGCTACGCTGGGGACTCCTCGGCGTTTGGAGAGATCTCACTCCTGCTCGGCGCTCACTCCTGCTCGGCGTTCACTTCGCCGCCGACCAGTTAGGTGGATTGCTCATCGCATGGGCTTCATCGTTAGCTACGCTGGGGACTCCTCGGTGTTCGGATTCTTCGTGTAAGCGTCGTCAGCTACGCCGGGGACTCCTCGTTGCTCAGACAACGCCAGCTACGCCAGGGACTCCTCGGTGCTCGGACATCGCCAGCTACGTTAGGGACTCCTTAGTGTTCGGATTCTTCGTGCAAGCCTCGCCAGCTAAGCTGAGGACTCCCTTGGTGGTCGAATCTTGCTACGTCTCATCGGTGTGCTATCAAGCTGCTCCATGTTGTTCGGATCAGGGTGCTGATCTTGGGCAGCATGTCTGGGTCTTGATACGCGCATGTCAGATGACGTCGGCAAGCTTTCAGACTTCTTTTCTTTGACCCTGCTACAAGATTCATTCTTCATCTTCCAATAGGCTCGGGAACTAAGTGGCTACACTTCACCTGGCAGTGAATGTAGTGCTTATTTTTTTGATTTACCCTCCTTATTGACTGAGTCTAAGTGGCTACACTTCTCCTAAGTGGAAGAATTTTTAAATTTTATCTTGAGCCCCTTACATCCTTCTAGCAAGCCTTACTTGGCTAAGTCCGAGGTCTCTTAGCCAGTTAAACTGGTCGGCATCGACTTTCACCGCCTAGGTCACTAGTTAAACTGGTTGGCATCGACTTTCACCGCCTAGGTCACCAGTTAAACTGGTCGGCATTGACTTTCACCGCCCAGGTCACCAATTGTTTGGTCGGCTTCGACTTTCACTGCTCGGATCACCAGTTAAACTGGTCGGCTTTACGTTGAACTGCTCGGACTTATTCAAGACAGCGTTGCTCAAAGGATACAAGGCGCTCAGAGACTAGCTGTGGGGGTATGGTCCCCGGTATCCATAAGACAAGACATGGACCGCACCATCAGAGGTGGCCCAGCCCATAAGATCATGGCCTACGGTGCTCGGCTCTGGTCGGCGTGCACTGCAAGACTACAAGAAGATATTGTAATACCAAATAGGCTATTTTCCTTGTAACCCTACCCCACCAGAATATATAAGGAGGGGCAGGGGTCCCCTAGACGAGATATCGAATCTGATACACAATCAATACAATACAACAAAGACACAGGACGTAGGGTATTACGTCAATCAGATTGCCCGAACCTGTCTAAATCGCTGTCTCTGCGCCTTGTGTCACCATCCGGTTCCTATCACGCGCACCTCCACCAATCAATCTACCTTCGATGGATACCCCTCGGAGGACTGCCGAGCATCTTTTGTCGACAATTAGATTAGTGGAAAGAAGAAAGAATGGGAAGAAAACAACCATGGTCAAGCTTTAATTTAATTAATATAAATAAGTAGAAGTTAGGACAACCTTTAAATTCAAGCTGAGACATGGCGTAACCACAATCTAAACGTTCACAAAAGCAACAGAACCATACGGTTACAAATAGGTTTCACTTTTTATTCCCATGTAATTCCCATTACATGATCACTTGATCAGCTGGTCATATATGCATAACTCAAACTGAGATCAAGTGATGTGCTGTACTTCCATAAGTTCCTAATGTAGAATTATAGTAGTACTTCCTAATTTTAAGACCAAGAAAACACAAACCATTGACATGTAAGGCCTTCATGCTATGGGTTTGCCCCTCTTCACTGGAAACAGAGCATCCCCAATATATCTGCAATTTTTTTTTTCTGACAGATTTGCTCTCTTTTCTGAGTAGTAATCCAACCTTTGATCTGTTACGGTTCTCTCTCCAGGTTAAACGATTTAGAATTTCAGGTGCAGCAGTGGTGCACTGGTGCTGCTAACTGACTTTCCTTTTCTTTCTGAATCCAGTCCAAGATCAAGCCTTGTAGCCGAACGGGCGCATGTGCACCCCATAAGTCGATCAAGTGAGAGATCATACGCGTCCGATACTGCAGCTCCTGATCCTTTTGTTGCACCAGTTTTCTTTTCCTAGCTCCCTTAAAAGTTCTCCGTGCACCTGGAGCCTCCATGCTTGGCTTTCCAAAATGAACGTATGCAGTGCCATGTATAGCCTTCCAAAGTATTTGGTAGACCGTCGCTTCAGTGTTTTGTTGGAAGTAATCTATAGACTTTGGCAGCATGATTTCTTTCAGTTGTTCCAAGGTAATGTCAGTATGCTCGCAATGTTTTCCCCTCCTGAAGATCGGCACCATTGTAGAACTTCTATCCGCAGGTAGCATGTTTTGTGAAGAACCATGGGGAGTAAAGAGGAATCCAGCTTTCAGCTTTTGATAATCGCGCAGAGAATATTTGTATTCAGACAGTGAGGTCCGTTGTTGATTATACTCGGATAGTGAGATCTGACACTGCAAATTTACTTCAATAATTGAATCCAGAGAAGCATCCATGCCTAGGTTACTAATATGGCCAACCTTATGCTGATCATGCTGCTTGCAACATAATGGGTCTGGACGAAACCATTGAGTGCTAAAACTATGAAGATTGTCCCAGTGTTTTCTGTGCCATAGATCAACATATGGCACCCATGAGAAGTCCTGCGTAGGTAGCTGAGTGAGCTCTTTCTTGATGGTTTCAACTGTAGGCTGGAAACAAGGAGGGAAGAGCTGCAGGCAGTTCACTACAGTCCCAACAATGTCTGTACTTTCTGATATCTGCAGCATTGCACCAAGAAAGAAGTTATCTTCAAGTGTATTTCTGTCTTTCTTGATAAATACCAGGCAAACTTCTATTCCATGTTCTTTCGTAGCAAAGGGCACCAACCATAGTAGAAACAAAGGGTACTCATTTCCACGGACAATTTTGTGTTGTAGTTCCCTGCCTGCAAAAAGGTGCTTGACAAAAGAGTTGAATGACATCTGACGGGATGGTGTGCCACCAACCTCTATGAATCTCAGAAACTCACTAGCACTATTTGCAAACCACTCGAATCTTCTAACAACAGATCTGCTGGACTCATAGTTGTTGCGGCCAAAGGCAGAGAAAATAAAAGATTTGGTAGCATGTGCTATTCGTCTAGGAAAGGAAGAATTCCTCACCTCCTGTTCCATCTGTTCTTCTTCAAGGATTATCTTCTTGTATCCGTACAGTGTGTCATCGCACTCTTGAGCAGCCCGCTTCAGCTTCTTGCGCCAACGCAACAACGACGAATCAGTGATCTGCCACTTACTGGATGTCTCAAGAGCTGCCTCCAGCTTGATATGCGCCATCTCAAGCCTCTCCAAGTTATCATTTGGATTTGAGTCTTCTTTGCCCTCATACCTGTGAACCAGACCGGATAGAATTTGGCTAACTGTCTCTTGGATAACCACAGAACTGATCATCTCGGTCATTAGGATCCAATAAGTATTTGTAGCATTCCTTCCCTGTTCAGAAAAAAAGCATTTGTACATGAGGAGACTAAATATATGAACAAAATCCCGGGACAGAAAAAAAATGTGTTCCACAGAGGACCTACCCTCAGTTGATGTGCAAGGAAGTGGTGAGGAGTTGTCGCAAGTGTATATAAATATATTCTGGAGGGTAATGTGAATGTGATGCCCAAGATTTTCAGAGGAAAGAGACGTCAAGAAATCAACAACTGGGGTCTGGTAGTGACCCGTGCACAGGAGTTGGTTTGTACAAGGAAAAAACTGATTAATGATTGCTTTTTGGCTTAATTAATGCCTAAAAAAATTATCTCTTTGACTTAACAGCAACATGAGAATCTGCCGGTCTGCACGTGTTTGTGCAAGAAAATCAAATGGTGGGTGGGGTGATATTTGACCAAGGACCAGACAACAAAGCAAATGACAGCCTGAGCACTTCTACTTTGTGCACGAATGAAAAAGGAATTCAGCAAAGTCATGGTGTTTGGAGAGTCTGTACCAGATGAAAAGCTACACGTCACTACTCACTAGCAAAGTCATAGGAGAGCGTACTCTAGGAACTTAGCCATGTGAACAGAATGGCACTGGATGCTTCATGGAAATATCGTCCAAGCTTCCAGAATTCCCTGCACATGCCTCAGAGTTCGGTCGTCGGCCTCTTTACCTGGGTAGTCAGCAGAGCACGGCGCGTCTAGGACAGAGTGGTGCAATTGGTGGAGAAGAAATGCCTGCAGTTTTGGAGTCTAGACCACTGCAGTGCTGCGGTTCTCCGCATTTTTTAGCTCAAGAAACGACGGGCACGCCCATAGTCCATGGAGAACAGTCAAACAGCAGGTACAAAGCAAACAGAAGTCAAAAGTGTCACACCCAAACCATGCACGGGGAAACTGTGGTTTTATCTGCTTTCTAAAATCATCAGGCACAGAGGACTGTCAAATGGAGAAATTGCAGTCAAATAAAGTTTGCAGATGCAATTATCAGCCACAGAGTATATTGTCCTCACTGGAGAGGCAATGCAAGTCACCACTCATAATTTACAGAATGTCAGAGTTTAGGACATGGGGGAGACAGAGCATTACACCAATGTGTTCCAAGTTAGAACAAAACAGAGAGTTGTGCATGGTAGCAAAAGAGCATTAGCTTTATAATTCTCTGAAAAGGAATGGAATAACCCATGGTCCATAACGACCCTCTTAAAATTCACATAGAAATTAACTAGACACCTCTTAAAAACAAATTACAGTTGATATATGATGGTAAAACCATGTCAGCATAGGATCAGCTGGAGAGAAACACGCAGCACCATATAAAAAACTAAAAACAGTTATGTGCTCAACATGCCTCTGTATTTGGAGTATTTATGTTTTCTGCATATTTTTGCTCAGCTATGAATAGTAACTCCAAATGCATGATTTGTTCCTTGAACATCCCATTTCCAGTCTTGTGTTCCTCATTTTCCTTACATGATTTGGAATTTCTGATGTAGCTGCAGAGCTGCTAATTGTTTTTCCTTTTCTTTCTGAATCCAGTTGACAATTGTGCCCTGCAGCTGGACAGGCGCATGTGCAACCCACAGGTTGAGGAATTGAAAGATGGTACTTGTTTTTCTCCCTATCTCCGGATCATGCCATTGCAACATCTTCCCTTTCCTAGGCCCCTGAGAAGTCCTCATGCTTGTTCTTTGTGTGCCCATGCTTGCCTTCTCAACCTGAATATATGCAGCGCCATGTTCTAATTTCCCAAGCATTTGGTAGACTGCCGCTTCATCATTCTTGCAGAAGTAATCTATTGCCTTTGGCAGCATGGTCTCTTCCAGTTGTCCCAATGTGAAGTCTGTATGCAAGAAATGCTGCTCCTCACAGTAGATCACCGGTACTGCAGGAGTTCTATCGACAAGTAGGATGTCTTCTAAACATCCATGGGGGGTAACTAGGAGTCCAACTTTCAGATATGGAGAATCTTCTAGAGAATATTTGGTTTCAGACAGTAAGGACCTATGTTGGTTGCAGTCCAAGACTGAGACATGGCACTCCAGATGTACTTCAATTACTGGTTCCAGAAAAACATCTCGTAATCTTGACCTGTTTAACTTTCTAAGCTTGTGCTGATCATGCTGCTTGCAACATAATGGGTTTGGGCGAAACCAATCTGTGCCAAACCTGTGAAGAATATCCCAATGTTCTTTGTGATGTGTATCAATATCTGGCACCCATGAGAAATCTTCTGTAGGTAGTTGCAGAAGTTTATTCCTAACTGTTTCAACTGCAGACTTGAAATTGAAAAGAGGGGCATATAGCTGTAGGCACTGAATTGCCATCCCTACTATGTCGGTACTCTCTGAAAGTTGTAGCATCAAAGAAAAGAAGAAGTCATCCTCCGATGCATTACCATCTGTCTGAATAAAGATGAATCTAGCCTCTATTCCGTAGTCTGAAGTAATATAGGGCGCCAACTGTAAAAACAAAGGACGCCTGTTTGCCTGAATGATTCTGTGCTGTAGTTTCTTGCCATTCAGAAGATGCCTAACAAGAGGGTCAAAGGGCATGTGGTGGCGTGGCCTGCCACCAAGCTCTAGTAATCTGAGAAACTCGCTAGCACCATCTGTGAACCACTCAAACCTTCGAACAGTGGAGCTGTTTGACTCGTCTTTGTTGGGACTAAAGATGGAGGAAACAAATGACTTGGTAGTATGTGCTATACGTACAGGAAACGAGGACTTTCTCACCTCCTCCTCTGTCTGTTCGTCTTCTAGGATCCTCTGCTTGCATCTATGCAGCGTGTCATCACACTCCTGAGCAGCACGCTTCAGCTTCCCGCACCAACGCAACAAGGATGCATCAGTGATCTGCCACTTCTCTGACATCTCAAGAGCAGCCTCGAGCCTGATGTGTGCCATCTCTAGCCTCTCCAAGTTTCTGTTGGCACTTGATTCCACTTTCTCCTCATATTTCTGAACGAGATTGGATAGGAGCTGGTTCACTGTCTCATGGACAAGTGCAGAGCTGACAATCTCTGCCATCAGGATTCAAGGATCCGTAGTATCCCTTCCCTCTTCATAAAAATTGAACATGAAACAGCACACATGAGAGACTAAACATATGATCTTTGTATCAGAAGCAAAGATTTAGCTTAGCAACTGTAAGGACATACCTTGGACTGAATCACATGGACAGCTATCCTTTTCATGCACAGATATCTCGAGTCCAAATCATAGAATGAAGCAAGATGTGAACTTGAAGAGAACTCAGTGATATATATCAGAGACTTTGAAGGGGAAAAAGAGGTAGGCAAGTCCAATAATTGGTCTCTGCAGGGAAAAAAAGGTAGGCCAGTCCCTCAAAAGTTAATGATGAGAGTCTGCACTTGGTTACACATCTGGATATATAATAGGCACCGAGTAGAGAAAAGTAGGAGAGGTCCGTTCAAAGCTGTGTCATGAGTGGAAAATCAAAGAATGAAGGTTGGTGCGATAAACCAACGGCAGGGAAAGAAAGTGGAATGCAACTTGAGAATAATTTAAAAGGTCTTGGCCTCTCAGATGCTTAAACCGTGCGCCACTTGGAATTCCTTTTCAGGTTTCTTGTTAGCAAGTGGACAATGAGCTTGGAACTTCTTTTTAAAGAGTTTTCGTTAGCAGTGGCAGTTTCTAGTAGATGAAGCCAACGTTCAAGTCTCTGTAAATTCATATTTCTTGTCACGTACTGGTTCACTGATGTCTGATTAACTCATAACATCTTTCCATGTCTCTCCTCATTTAATTTGCTTGCTTGCTTGCTTGATGCCATGGAAGTTTGTTCAAACAGACTACTGTCAATGAAATGGACTGTGTTCGATGCATGAAACTGTAGTACACAACAAGAAAAAAGAAAAAGGAACTATATGTATATGTTTTTCTAACAGTATAGTACATGTACATAGATAAGATTCTAAGAACAGACTGTTATACTACTACGACTGATCCGACTCCGACATGGCCAGATGCCCGGATCTAGTGGTACAAGATTGAAGGCCATGGAGCGAGCAGAGCTAGAGGCCGTCTGGTTTCTGAAAGCAGAGCAGCTAGCAGGCAGAGGAGACGCCGAACATAGCTAGGTTATGTGCCCCTGCCCGGCTGCAGCAGCACCATGAGTTGGGGAAAAAAATCGCGCGTACCTGGAGAGCGCTTGTGTGAGGTGGGAGCGCCTCGGCCGTCATCTCCCGGTCCTTCGCGGCTCCCACTCCTCCTCCACGGCGCCGTGTCTCTATCCTCTCCGAGCGCCGGCCTCCACCGCCGTTCTCCGCTCCGCCCCGGCGCACCATGGCCGTGCGGCCCAGGCGAGTAGCCTAGTGTCGAGGTAGCATAGCGTGGGCCGGGCCCAGAGTTTTGAGCCTTCTTCGCTTGCTCCAAGGGCCCATCGTGTCATCATTATGATATCCTGGGCCGGGCCCAAAGTCCATATAGTTTCATCTTAGCCAAACGTGTCGCGGAAAGCTTCGCTGCCGACCAGTCGGACAGGAGCCCCGCGCCGACCCCGACCCCCCACCCCCCCCCCCCAGCCCACAAACGCGGTCCATTATCCGTCCAAGCGAGCGTGGCCCATAGATGGAGCTGCGAGCGCGTGGGATTCCGAGAGTTACGTACGTAAGTTTTCTTTTCTTTTTCTATTTTTCCTTTCTACTATTTCTTTATTCTTTTCTTTTCTCTTTTATTGTTTTTCGGTTCTATTGTTCTTATCATCTTTTATTCTTTTTTATTTTTCTTTATTTTCATCTTTTATACCTTTTTTATTTTTCTTTTCTTTTCTTCTATTTCTTTTTTTCTTTCCTTTATTTTTTCATTTTTCTTTTTCGGTGGTCTTTTATTATTCTTTTTATTTCCTTATTTTATTTTATTTTTTATTGTATATTTTTCTTTTCTTTTTCTTCTTTCCTTTCATTCATTTGTTTTCCTTTTTTCTTTTTCATGGACTTTTGTCGTTCTTTTTATTTTCTTTATTATTTTACTTTACTCTATTATTTTTTTAATTTTTATTTTTGTTTTTGTTTCATTTCCTTGCTTCTATTTTGTTTTTTATTTTTCCTTTTTTGTTTTCTTATCTTTTTATTTTTTAATATTTACATTTTTAATTTCTTCTTTTTTGTATTTTTGTATTTTTCTTTCTTTTCTTCTATTTATAATTTTATATTTCATTTTTTATTTACAGATATACGTGATGTTCATGTAGTGTACATGTAACGTTCTATGATGTATTTTTTGATGTCCACAAGTAGTAATGTGATGTTCTACGATGTATTTTGTGATGCTCAGTAAGCATACATTGATGTACATTTTTTTCTTCTTTTTATTTAACTCTAATTAATTACTTCACTAATTTTATTATTTTATTTATGTTTTTATGATTTTTGTGATGTTTACGTAGTATACATATGATGTTCTATGCTATATTTCGTGATGTTCGTGTAGTGTTAATGCGATGTTCTATGATGTATTTGTGATGTTCGGTAGTATATATATGATGTTCTATGCTATAATTAGTGATGTTCGTGCAGTGTTAATACGATGTTCTACGATGTTTTTTGATGTTCGATAGCATTTTTTCTTTTTATTTGACTATAATTAATTACTTCACTAATTTTATTTTTTATTTTTTTATTTTTTACATTCCATTATATATATGATATTTACGTAGTATATAGATTATGTTCTATGCTATTTTTTGTGATGTTCGTGTAGTGTTAATGTGATGTTCGACAATTATCTTTAAATACATATTCATCATGAGATAAATGTTACATTAAAATTTTTTATCGAAATGTATCTATGTGGGGTCTTGTTTTGAATGGTTTATTGCAAGGAACACGATAGTGCAATCGGATTTTAATTAGAATAGTTTAGGAGCTACAACTTTTTTTTTACTTCAAAAAGCATGGGATGCGCTGACGTCAGCAATTTTGGCTTTAGTGCATGTCTGCTGCTTGGCTATCTGCGCAGTACGCGGAAACGGTTCAAAAATACAATTGAATTTGTCCCAATACCATGAAGCGCTCACGGGCAGCTCATTATTGGCCATGTTTTATATCATTATTAATTCATTATATATTGGTACTCTCACTATAATGTGGTTAATGTACCTCTATTATGTATCCAGGAGATTATGCTTGCTGGACCACCTCACTTTTGTTCAGCAGGGAGTTGTACAGTTTATTTCGGAAAAAGTTGCATTTTAATTTGTCCATGTTTTCTAGAAACAGCGGCAAGGTCATTGCCCATTCTTGTATGAATTGTTCTTGTATGAATTGTCCACACTACTTGTTTGCATTATCGTTTCTCTTTATTGTCTACGCTACCTGTTAGCATGTACTACAATATCTCTAAAAGTACTTATTTCTTTGCAATGTTTAAAAATGTTCCATACTCAAATTTGCAACATTGTGTTGCAGGTTAATTAGTGGCTGCAAATAAGAGTGCTTTGGAGGATTCAAACCATGATATCTAGTCTCGCGTAACACATCTCTATCAGAATTGTAAGTTATTATAGGATGATATTTTTTATATTAACATTTTGTAAACTTGTATTGAATATTTTGACCACTAAATGATCTCAAATGAAAAAAGTTAACTATAAAGTTTTGAATCTTGTCAAGCACTACAACTTTAGTATAGGGCATGTTTCCATCTGAGATCGTTGAAAAACTCAAAAATTTGAAAATTACAATATGAGAATGTAAAATGAATATTGGAAACTCTAAATGACCTACAAAGCTATATATCACATTGACCACTACAAAATATTATTGATCATGTCAACATGTAGTGTCATTTGGATATTTTAAATTTTGAGTGTCAAAATTTAAGAATTTCAACAACATATTTTGCAATCTTAATGACTTTTAATAAAAATTTGTCAACTACAAAGTTGTAGATTGTATTGAGAACTAAAAACTTTTTGTAGACCATGTCAACATTCAAGATCATTCAAAAATTATAGAATTAAATTTCAAATTCTGAGCAATGCTACAAAGTTGTATATATCGTCAATATCTATATGAAAAAAATATGCAATATTTTTTTTACAACTATTTGGAGAGGCATCACATTAGAATGCCCACCTCTATTAATGGCCATTTTTCAGAATGCCCACCTCTGCTAATGGACATTTTCAGAGGTAGGCATCTTAAAAAGTCCATGTTTGTTAATCAATTAACAGAGGCTGGTGTCCTAAGAGGACTGCCTATGTAAATAGTCGATTAACAGAGACGGTCTCCTTAAGGTGTCCGCCTCGGTAAAATGATTAATAATGCAGGCGTTTGCTTGATACCATTATAGAGGCAGCTACTAAGGGCCTGTTTGGTAGAGCTCCACAAAAAGAAAAAGTGAATCTAGAACTAGGATTCACCGAGATCCACCATGGAGAAGCTCCATCGTGGATTTGGTATTCATCAAAGTGTTTGGTACAGCTCTACCTCCATCTCTATCTCACTTCCACCTAGGCCCCACATGCCAGGGGACAAAATGCAAAACAAAACTTCTTCACGCGGGGAAGAGCAAGTAGCGACGCGCACTCGCGCGCCCAGGCACCCCGGTGGCCGGTGGCTAGGCCCATGGCGGCCAGCCCCGCGCGCTCGCGCGGTCAGGCGCCCGGCGGCCGAGCTCACGCCCATGGCGGCCAGGCTCACGCGACCACGACATATGAGTTGGTCCACGGCCCACATGTAAGCGTGTCTGTGAGAAGGCACATATGCGAAACACATTGACATCTATATACATCTCTTATAAAGCTAATCTCCACTACAAGTTCTATCACAACATGCAAGTCATCCACATCACCTAACAGGCCACTGCACTTTTTTATTTATAATTTTTTAATCAATATAATGAGAACCTTTCCTAGCGCTCAAGCTTCTCTTCTAAAACTAACCCTTCTAGTTATGCCAAGAGCACGGCTGCTATAAAACCACGCTGTGCGCCAGTGCATGTGTGGTGCGGCAACCTCTGCACTGTAGTGTAGCTGGCCTACATGGCACACGTGTGGGTACCAC